CTTCGTAAAAGTCACTCCCCAGAACCTAAAAATGCTGCGTATAGTGGAACCTTATGTGACCTGGGGGTGAGTAAGACTTCCTGTGTTAATTCACATTAGATTTCTATTTGAGTGTGTTAGGGTGCACTGGGTCTCATTCTCCAGGGTTCATGTCACTGTAGAAGGAACATTTTGCTGTGACCACGGTCACCCTGAAATCAGCAGGTAGCTTTAAGAAACATAGCACACGGGGTACAGAGGAGTCTTTTTTTTTTTTTTTTTTTTTTTTGAGACGGAGTTTCACTGTTGTTACCCAAACTGGAGTGCAATGGTGCGATCTCAGCTCACCACAACCTCCACCTTCTGGGTTCAAGCAATTCTCCTGCCTCAGCCTCCCGAGAAGCTGGGACTACAGGCGCGCACCACCGTGCCCAGCTAATTTTTGTATTTTTAGTAGAGACGGGGTTTCACCTCGTTGACCAGGATGGTCTCGATCTCTTGACCTCGTGATCCACCCACCTTGGCCTCCCAAAGTGCTGGGATTATAGGCGTGAGCCACCACGCCCAGCAGGGAGGAGTCTTAACAGTGCCATAGTAGGGCTGGTTTAGTTGTAGGGTAAGGCTGGATCAAGCAGAGATTGGTTCTTCAAAGTCTTAAAGCAGAGCTAAGGGCAGTGTTTGTGTAAGAGTAGTATTGCTCAAACATTGAAACTCAACAAAAGCTTGGATTTCATTTCTAGCTCTTGTGCCATCTTGAGTAGAGGGTTGCTTAAGGCCAGAGTCCTAGACCCTAAGCTAGGACATGGTTTCTGTTTTGTTTTTGTTGGCGATGTTTTCCCTGGTGAACATTTACATCCATAAATTTAAATTGCTAATTATGTAAGTGGGGTCACTTCAGTTCTTAATCAGGAATATTTCCAAGCATCCCAGCTGGCATGTGCTTGCAGAACACTTGCTGGTAGGGAGGAGGGGTGGGTGGGAAAACCTCTTCAACCTTCTCAGCCAGGCTGCAGGACTGGTATGTAGTGTGCCAGGTGCTGGTGAAAACTGTGCTTTATTTTACCCACATAGATTTCCAAATCTGAAGTCTGTCCGGGAACTCATTTTGAAACGTGGACAAGCCAGGGTCAAGAATAAGACCATCCCTCTGACAGACAACACTGTGATTGAGGAGCACCTGGGTGAGTGCTGCAGCTTAGGGGTCAGTTGGAGAAAGACTTTTTTGATGTGAGATTCAGGTTGTATTCTTTTTGGGGTCCCAAGAGTCTGCCAGAGTGCCCAGCTTAGTATATGCTGGATACATGTTGAATAAAGGAATCTGTGCCTTTGTTTCTTAGGGAAGTTTGGTGTCATTTGTTTGGAAGACCTCATTCATGAAATTGCCTTTCCGGGGAAGCATTTCCAGGAGATCTCACGGTTCTTGCGCCCTTTCCACCTCTCAGTGGCCCGTCATGCTACCAAAAATAGAGTGGGCTTCCTCAAGGAGATGGGCACACCTGGCTATCGGGGTGAGCGCATCAATCAGCTCATCCGCCAGCTGAATTAGCACCAGGTGAGGCAGGGCTGAGAACTGCTCTTGGACTGAATGTGGGTGTGCCATGCCTTGCCACTTTAAAAGTTCTTTTTGCATTTACTAGTTATTAAGAGTAACCTTGAGATTGGGAGGAAAGAGGAGGCGGGTACAAGCAGTTGGAGACCTGGGTGCAATGAATGCCTGATTGGGACATGGGGCTATGCATAGCCTAGGAGTTATAGGCTTTAAAATGTCATGTAACTAAAAACTGTATTGCTGTAGTCATTTAGATGGAAATGAGGAAAGAATAACTGATTGCAAAAAGGACTTGAAGATGTGAATCATCTATTTTGCTGAAGAAATCTTAACTCTTTGAAATTACATTTTATTCCTGTTGTTATTACTGTAGGTGCCAAACTGCAATAAATTTTTATCAATGAAGTGGAAGCATGTGTTTTTGGGTTTGGAGAATTTGTATCAAGTATCTTCAGAGAAGATTATTTCCTGCTTTATCTTTAAAAACTGGAAAGGAAGTATCAAAGAAAAGACAGTAGCTGGCCGGGCGCAGTGGCTCATGCCTGTAATCCCAGTACTTTGGGAGGCTGAGGAGGGCGGATCACCTAAAGTTGGGGGTTCAAGACCAGCCTGACCAACATGGCGAAACCCTGTCTCTACTGAAAATAGAAAAATTAGCGGGTCATGGTGGCCCATGCCTATAATCTCAGCTACTCGGGAGACTGAGGCAGGAGAATCGCTTGAACCTGGGAGGCAGAGGTTGCGGTGAGCCAAGATCGCACCATTGCACTCTAGCCTAGGCAACGAGCGAAACTCTGTCTCAAAAGAAAAAAGAAAAGAAAAAAACAGTAGCTATGTTCATGGCAAGTATCTCTCATCCCAATCCAGTTCCAAGGAAAAATTCCAGCGTTTTCTACATTGGCTGCTGCCTCATCTGAAATCAGCACATTCCATGGAGGAAGCAGTCCTGCTTTGCTGCATCTCTTATCCTAGGGTTTAATGTTGGTAGTTGAGTAATTCTAGCACTTGTACAAGGCTCCCTAAGACTCCTGCAGTAGTGGACAAGTCCAGGGACATAAGTGAATCTGGTGATTCCTGGGGCCTTGTGAGAAAGACTTGAAATACACATAGGAGGAGAGGTACAAAAATAAATGTTTACTTGTCTCTGCTCTGAGTCTATGTTCCAACTTTTCAGTGATGGCTTTGAGAGCTCAGAATTGACTGGCTCTAAGTGTATCTGGTGGATTTTGTATCCTAATCTGACACTGGCTTAGTCTTTTTCCTAAAAGCTCAGGATTTGAGAATGAGGACACCTTCGCCAGGAAAACATGTATACACTCAAAATTTTGCTTGCTGTTCTAGGATGTTTAGAACCTTCCTCAGATACCTGTGCACCTTATGGGTTTTTGTTTTTTTGTTTTTGTCTTTGTTTTAAGATAGAATCTCTTGCCTAAGCTGGAGTGCAGTAGTGTGATCTCATTTCACTGCAGCCTCCACCTACTGGGTTCAATTTATTCTCCTGCCTCAGCCGCTCGAGCAGCTGGTAGGCATGCTCTACCATGCCCAGCTAATTTTTATATTTTTAGTAGAGACAGACAGGGTTTTATCACGTTGGCCAGGCTAGTCTCAAACTCCTGACCTCAAGTGATCCACCCACCTGGGCCTCCCCAAATTGCTGGGATTACAGGCATAGGCAGCCATGCCTGGCCCTTGTGTACCCTATATGAGGAAGTCCTGCTTTTAATCAGAATTGGTCATGCAGGCCCTGATCTTGCTACTCTGGTTCCATGTCCTGTGGAAGACAAGCTTACCAAGATAGTTCTTTCCCTTCATGGTGGCAGATAGTGTTGCCCCCTGTACCATCTATAACTTGGAAATACCCAATGTTTTTTCCCCCTAGGCTTCAGGATAGAATTACCTTGTTCTCTGATGATCAGCACTCTTCCTTAAAACCCAGGTCAGGAAGGAGTGAACAATTTTGTTTGCCTTGGATGAAATTAGCACTGTTTGGCTCTGTAGGCCCCAGACAGGCAGGCAGCTTAATTTTTTCCTTGCATATTCTAGTCTCCAAAAATATTGCCCTTTGTCCTGCTGGTAATGACATAGCAGATAGTAGAGCAGTAACTGGGCATCTGGGGATTTTCATCCTGAAAACAGTAGGTCTGATACTGCTCATGCTTTTCATCAGTGTCCACCCCAGGTTCTTCCTGCTACTCACTTCACTTAGTTGCCCCCACTTGCCATCTGAGCAATTGGCAAGGATGCTCCAAGCCTAGGTTAAACTTGGAAACATACCTGACCATTCTAGTCCCTGGTCCTATCAGATCAATTTGGCTGCAGTTTTGGCTCCTGGGACTCTCAAGCATAGCTGGGACTTCAAGTTAGAGGTGTAACTGCCTTAAAATATGCCAGCTTATTAGGTAATTAGATCGGTTCTCTCCAGAGGTAACCTGCCAAGAAGAGATGCTATAGATGTTACTCTTATACTGTAAAACATTGTGAAATCAGATTACTTTAAAATGATGTATTACAAAGTTATGGAAAAAAAAATTGTGACTATGGAAGCCCAAGGCTTATATCTCGGCTCTTACAGTGAATATGGGTACAGTGTTTCCACTCTAAAATGGGAGCTAATATCCTCCAATCTGTGTGCCCAATACGGTGGTTAAAAGCAAAACAATAGTTTGTAATTTATTCTGTCAGAGCAAACTGCTGGTAAATAAATAAAAGGGAGGGCTGGGCGGGGTGGCTTACACCTATAACCCCAGCACTTTGGGAGGCTAGGTGGGCAGATCACAGGTCAGGAGTTTGAGACCAGCCTGACCAACATGGTGAAACCCCATCTCTACTAAAAATACAAAAATTAGCTGGGCATGGTGGCATGTGCCTGTAATCCCAGCTACTTGGCAGACTGGGGCAGGAGAATCGCTTGAACCCAGGAGACAAAGTGGCAGTGAGCCAGGATTGCACCACTGCACTCCAGCCTGGCGACAGAGGCTCCATCTCAAAAAAAAAAGGGAGTAAGGTGACTAAAAATGTTTTTTTTTAATAAAAAGCATAATGAAACAAGTTTGTAACTTATAATTGTATACAAATAAATTATAAAATTTATGCACTTGTGTATATGTACCATGACATAACTAATTTTTTGAACAAGTTTTGAGACAATCCTTATTTTTGAGAAAAGCTAGACCTGTTACATAATCTGTGGGTTAGGGTATGCTCCTGTCAGCACGCACCAGGTACACTCTAGCTTTTGTAGAGAAAGTAAAATCTAGTGTTGAGAAAGTAAGTGGACTGAGCCAGGCAGCATATTTAATATAAAAGGACTAATTAATTTCAGGGTAGCTGTGGCACCCTTTCCAAAGTTCTAATTTTCTAGCCCCTTGCCTGATCCAGCTGATTCCAAAAACCAAGATTTTAGTCTTGGTTGGCTTATTTAAATGCTTTGGGCTTTCCTTTAATGTATCCTCAAAGTCATTCTGGGCCCAAGTTACATCATCAAACCTTTTATTACATATAAGGGCTGAAACAGAATTTTTCTGAACTGCGTATCATGTCCCAGAAATGCAAATACGAAACCTCGACGGTGGTTGCAGGAACAAGTCCAGCTGAGGCAGGTCAGAGAGGAAACAAAAGATGAGTAACTGACTGGCATTCAGGGTACTGGAGCCACGCCCTCCAGATCTCCGCTGGAAAGAACCTCGAACCTCAGGACCCCACTGTATGCCATGAAGAAGGTGCAGTCGTTGCCTCAGCCAAGCCAGGCTCCGCCGGGGCCCGGGCCGTTCCTATCTTGAGGGTCGGAGGAGGGGACTCAGCCAAAGCCGCGGCCTCCCAGGGCTTGGGCCTCCGCGGGAGTCGGGACGCCGTGGGTTCGCCGTGGATCGCCGCGATGTGGCGTCTCTCTAGGCCCGGGATCTCCTGGCCCTGCTGAACCAGATGCAGGAGCTGCGACAGAGTAACCGAAGCAGAGGCCGGGGCCGGGGCCGGGGCCGAGCGGCGGGGACTGCGGGGACGCTCCATGTCGGGTCGCGAAGCCTGACGGGCTTCCGGACTGAACGGGTGCAACTACCACGGGGCGAGGGGGGGAGGAAGGGGAGGCTGTAGACCGTACCAAGCCGGCCCAGAACTGGGGGAGCACTTGAGAGCTCTGACCCAGCTTCCTGCAGAAACGCTTTAGACGCGTGCACGATTTAGCCAAACCCAGAGTGCCCAACGTAGAATGTGCTTTAGAAGAAAAAGGGACGGACGCGTCAAAACCTGAAGGCTAGCACAGGACGGAACATGCCTGCGGACGCGCCGCTGCAGGCAAAAAGACCCATACATGCATAGGCACCGTGCACATGCCCACTTTTGTGCACACCCACAGGCGCGCTTACAGGGATTCAGGTACAACACATGGCGGGGAATAATCCCCATTCTAGGCCCCGCAGCACTGGACAAAGCATGACTGTAGAGTTGTTCCAAGGGGCCTCAGGAGTGACGCCGCCACCAAGCTACGCTACTCTCTTATTATTATTTTGAGACGAAATCTCACTCTGTCGCCCAGGCCGGAATGCAGTGGCACGATCTCAGCGCACTACAGCCTCATCTCAGCTCACTGCAACCTCCGCCTCCTGGATTCAAGTGATCCTCCTGCCTCAGCTTCCCTAGTAGCTGGGATTACAGGTGTACGCCACCAAGCCCAGCTAATTTTTGTGTTTTCAGTATAGACGGAGTTTCACCATGTTGGCCAAGCTGGTCTCGAACTCCTGACCTCAAGTGATCCCCCAGCCTCGGCCTTCCAAAGTGCAGGGATTACAGGTGTTAGCCACCGCACCCAGCCAGAGCCACATCACTCTCTTCACACTTCCTGCCATTCTTCAATTCCTGGTACTCCCAGAGAAGATAGAAAGTGAAGGCAGGTCAGATGTGCTACAGTTGCTCTGACTGCTTGGAAAATCAGGTTTTTAAATTATCAAAAGCGGCCAAGGAGCGCAGTGGCTCACGCCTGTAATCCCAACACTTTGGGAGGCCAGGGTGGGTGGATCACGAGCTCAGGAGTTTAAGACCAGCCTGACTAACATGGTGAAACCCTGTCTCTACTAAAAATACAAAAAGTAACTCATTGTGGTGGTGCACACTTGTAATTCCAGCTACTCAGGAGGCTGAGGCAAGAGAATCTCTTGAACGCCGGAAGTGGAGGTTGCAGTGAGCCAAGATCACACCACTGCACTCCAGCCTGGGCAAGACTCTGACTCAAAAAAAAAAAAAATTTTTTTATCAAAAGCTAGACTGATCTGGTGAATCTTAATCAAAGAATCAAAGCTTAATGGCCAGGCATGGTGGCTCACACTTAATATCCCAACACTTTGGGAAGCAGAGGTGGGCAGATCACCTGAGGCCTGGTGACAAAGCGAGACTCCGTTAAAAAAAAAAAAGTACAAAAAATTAGCTGGGCATGGTGGTACCTGCCTGTAATCCCTACTACGTGGGAGGCTAAAACAGGAGAATCACTTGAATCCAGGAAGCAGGGAGGTTGCAGTGAACTGAGATCATATCACTGCACTCCAGCCTGGGCAACAAAGTGAGACTCAGTCTTAAAAAAAATAATAATAGGACAAACTGGCCTCATGTGCCTCCTGATATGATGCACTGGCATTGAGAAGGACACAGCATTATCTTCTGTAGTAGTCCTGTCCAAAGAATATTTGCTCACACCTAATCTTGAGGAAATAGAGACCAAAGTGAGAGACATTCTGCAAAATGATTGGTCTGGACACTTTACAGATGTCATTGTCATAAAAGATAAAGAAAAACTAAGAATGATCTCAGATTAAAGGAGACATAAAAAATAAATACAGAGCCAGGCGCGGTGGCTCACCCCTGTAATCCCAGCACTTTGGGAGGCCGGCAGGCGGATCACCTGAGGTTAGGAGTTCGAGACCAACCTGACCAATATGATGAAACCCCTGTCTCTACTAAAAAGTATAAAAATTAGCCGGGCATGGTGGTACATACCTGTAATCCCAGCTACTCCGGAGGGTGAGGCAGGAGAATCGCTTGAACCTGGGAGGCGGAGGTTGCAGTGAGCCAAGATTGCATCATTGCACTCCAGCCTGGGCAACATGAGCGAAACTCCGTCTCAAAAAAAAAAAAAAAAAGAGAGACATTCTTCCTAGAGTCCGCGGTTTCCTGCTTCAATAGTGCTTGGACAAAACCTGGCGCTTGTCCCCCACCCAGGCCAGCCACCCACAGCCAGCCCTTCGTCACCTCCACACCTCGCCCTTGGACTGCCCCAAGGCCCCAGCCGCTGCTCCAGCACCTCGCAGCCTTTGCCGTCCCTGCCACCTCTCCTTAGCCGCCGCCATGACTACCGCGTGCCCCTGGCAATTGCGCCAGAACTACCACCAGGACTCAGAGGCTGCCATCAACAGCCAGATCAACCTGGAGCTCTATGCCTCCTGTTTACCTGTCCATGTCTTACTACTTTGGCCGCAATGATGTGGCTTTGAAAAACTTTGCCAAGTACTTTCTTCACCAATCTCATGAGAAGAGGGAACATGCAGAGAAACTAATGAAGCTGCAGAACCAACGAGGTGGCCTCATCTCCTTTCAGGATATCAAGAAACCAGACCATGATGACTGGGAGAGCAGGCTGAATGCAATGGAGTGTGCATCACATTTGGGGAAAAAATGTGAATCAGTCACTACTGGAACTACACAAACTGGCCACTGACAAAAATGACCCCCAGTGTGTGACTTCATTGAGACACATTACCTGAATGAGCAGGTGAAATCCATCAAAGAATTGGGTGACCACGTGACCAACTTGCACAAGATGGGAGCACCCCAGTCTGGCTTACAGAATATCTCTTTGACAAGCACAACTTGGGAGACAGTGATAATGAAAGCTAAGCCTTAGGCTAGTTTCCCCATAGCCACTGGGTCACCAAGGCAGTGCATGCATGTTGGGGTTTCCTTTACCTTTTCTATAAGTTGTACCAAAACATCCACTTAAGTTCTTTGTACCATTCCTTCAAATGAAGAAATTTGGTACACCCCCCAAAAAAATCCGTTTTCATGCTACTAAGAAAAAACAATCAATCAATCAACCAATACAGGCCAGACACAATGGCTCACATCTTTAATCCCAGCACTTTGGGAGGCTGAGGTGGGTGGATTGCTTGAACTCAGGATTTCAAGACCAGCCTGGGCAATATAGTGAAACCCTGTCTCTACTAAAAATACAACAACAAAAAAATAGCTGAGCATGGTGGTGTACATCTGTAGTCCCAGTTATTCAGGAGGCAGTGGTCGAAGAATTGCATGAGCCAGGCCATGGTGGCTCATGCCTGTAATCCCAACACTTTGGGAGGCTGAAGCAGGTGGGTAACCTGAGGTCAGGATTTCAAGACCAACCTGACCAACATGGCGAAACTCTGTCTCTGCTCATATTACAAAACTTAGCCAGGCGTGATGGTGAGTGCCTGTAATCCCAGCTACTCAGGATGCTAAGACATGAGAATAGTTTGAACCCGGGAGGCAGAGGTTGCAGTGAGCTGAGATCAAACCACTGCACTCCAGCCTGGGCGACAGAGCAAGACTCCATCTCAAAAAAAAAAAAAAAGAATAGGCTGGGTGCGGTGGCTCACACCTGTAATCCCAGCACTTTGGGAGGCCGAGGTGGGTGGATCACGAGGTCAGAAGATCAAGACCATCCTGGCCAACATGGGTGAAACCCCATCTCTAAAAAAAATAGCGCTTGCCTGAGTTCTGTGAGCTGTTGTAGTGACTTATTTAATCTGAGGTGGATCGTGAAAAACCTCCATATTTGTAGCCAGTTAGAAGTTTGGGTGACCTGAGGATCCCCCGACCTTACATCTGACCTCTGAAGTGAAGGAAGTCTTGTTGGGATTGTGCTTTTTGATTTGTGGGGTCTGCACTAACTCTGGATGGTGAGTGCCAGAATTGAACTGCAGTAGGCCAATTGGTATTTAGCAGAATACTACGTGAAGGAAGAAATCATTTTGTCTGTGGCCGAGGTCAGTTCCCTGGGCAGACTCCTACAGTCCTTGCCCTAAGGATTTTCTCCTAACTCACCAGGTTCACCTTCTTTCTCAGACATCTTTGGCCTTGGTTGTACTCCCAGGATCCTTGCTGGGAGGCTCTGGTTTCCTGCTATACCATTGACTCCTTTCCTACGAGCCAAGTACAAGATGAAAGCATATCTATGACGTCAAAACAACCTTGGGTGTTCTCCCAGCCACAGTGAAAGTCAAACGTGCTCAGAATTAGGGAGGATGATGTGCATGTGGTTGGGAAGTTGGGGATCATCTCAGTGTCATTTTTTTTTTTAGACAGAGTCTTGCTCTGTCACCCAGGCTGGAGTCCAGTGGTGCGATCTTGGCTCATTACAACCTCCACCTCCCAGGTTCAAGAAGTTCTCCTGCCTCAGCCTCCTGAACAGCTGGGATTACAAGTGCCCGCCACCATGCCCAGCTAATTTTTATATTTTTAGTAGAGACAGGGTTTCACCATGTTGGCCAGGCTGGTCTCAAACTCCTGGCCTCAAGTGATCCGCCCACCTCAGCCTCCCATAGTGCTGGAATTACAGGCATGAGCCACTGCATCCAGCCCTCAGTGTCATTCTTATTCTTCACTCACATTCTCTCATTTTGTCCACAGCACAACCCTATAAAACGATCAAGACAAGTTAGGAATTCGGTATTGACAAAAAGGCCCTCAAACATTATTGAGTCCAAACCCCCTTAGATAGTTAACCAAGTCCATGAAAGGAAGTAACAGCTGGGTTTGGAAGCTAGGCCTCCTGACTCTTTCACCCAATGCTCTTTCACTAAACCAGGGTGCCTCTCCTTGATAGGGCCCAGAGTCCCCTGCCCTGTGGGCAGCCATCTAAGCCCATGCGCTGCATAGAGGTGCATGCAGAAGGCAGAGAGAGAAAATAAGGAAAACTGAATAAACAGACAGAAGCAATGGTATTTCCCATCCAGGTACATCTAGAGCCTCTCCTTGAGTAAGCCAGGACCCCGGAGACCAAGAGGTTATTTCAACAGAGGGTAGCAAGACCACGTATCAAC